GGGCTCATACGTAGCGTTTCAGTTTTCACCGAAAATGCAGTGTCGCCTCCCCTTCGATAGACTGGACTGTGCTGTTGCGTTCTTCTGACTGCTGGGCTTTTGTTGTTTGAATTGTTGCTTTCTGTGGCACCTTTTTTTTTTTGAGGTTTTTTTCTATCATTGTTTGGAGTGTCGTGTGAAAGCAGTTGCTGAGAAGTGTTGAATCTCTGTTGTTTGAGAGCAGAAATTAGGAAAAGCGAGCTGAATTCGACTGGTCCTGGAATCCCGGATAATTAACACGTACTGTATTTAGTCAGCGAAAGGCAGCCCATTTCTGTTTTAGATGCGTTCCTGTACTTGCTGCTCCGCGATTTTATATCATGCACTGCTTTGTGTTCACTTCGTAGTACATGATTGAATGTAACAGAATGATAAGCACAGTCATTTTTCCAGCAATTTATGACTTACGACCGTGGCTGGCATCCGGCGAGAGCAGCCTCCGTGTCCTCATGGAAATCGATGATCGACGTAAGTTGTGACGATTCCTTGCTGCCAAGTAATAATGATAAGGTGCTGAAGTCTGGTATGAGATTTATCCCACTGAAGATTTCGAATACTCATTAAATTAAAATTGTTAAAAAGGAGCACAGTCATTTTAGAGATAATGGACACGGTCTGCTGCATGGATGCGCACTCGTTAACGGGCTTTAAAGCATGTGATACTTATGCACCATTAGTTCTGCGCAATCGCGGTGGAGGACATAGTCTTGTTGATGCTGTATCACAGGTCTGTTTTGTAATTCGTAACGTCACCTTATAATGGTTCTGAAACGGAATTAAAAAAAATCGATTTTTTGTTAAGGCGCTGTGGGGTGTAATCGACAAGAACAATACACTTCGCGGTGCACTATATCACTCGTTATATGCGATGGAAACTGTGTAAGAGTTTTACAGATTTTCTTTGTAGTACACGGGCAAGGCGGGAAGAATTTTGAAGAGCGCAACACTTATTATGTGTATGTATCTACTAAATCGGGCACTCATTGTGCTGTACCTCTTATTTTCAACTCGTTTTGGCTTGCGATCCTTCCTTCGTTCTCCCGCTTCTCGTAGTTTCTGCGGTTCGCAAAGTCGTTGGCGATACTCAAAGTTGTCAAGGTCTGGCCCACGATAGTACCGAGACTGTAAGCCTTGATACTGTCGCGAACAGGACTTCAGCAACTTTGAGTACTGCGATTCCAGTCTACGTTACACTATTTTATTAAGATAGAGAACGTCAGAAAGTAAAGCTGGGTTGGTCTCGTAGCGAGAATGAGAAAGAACCGACGGGCGAAGCGGACTGTTAATACTTTCAAATGAACGAAGGAAAAGTTGCCGTAGTATTGGAAGTTGGGAAGATCCGCTTGAATATGATTATGAAAGCGCAAAACAGAATAAAATACGAAAGGTACTAGTTACTTCGATGCGAGAAATAGCGCGGAGGTGCCCGGTAATCAGATCACAAGTTTTGCACAGGTTCTGCATATTTTTTTCCAGTGGTAAATACAGAGATTATGGTTTTTCAGACTTAGACTCATCTATGAAAAGGCGCTTACTGGTAGTGTTGTTGGTGATTTCTGTGTATTAGGGATGATTATTTCGGAGATGCACAGCAGAAAACAAGTGTCACGGCTTACATAAAATCTTTTTTTCTTTTTTGGTCTGTAAGGAAATCTGCTTTCCAGCTGTGAGTGTAAGTTAAAGTATCTCAAGCCTCAGTTTCTAGCTTTCGAAGCCGTTGGGCAACTTCTCTGATGAAAATGGGACTTAACATTGATATCTGGAAGATGCAGCGCCACTGGTCAAGCATAGTTGAGTGCAAGCAGCCGGGATCGCCACTTGAACAGGTAACCTGGTAGCGTTCGAGAAAC